CGAATTCTGCTCCTGGTTCAAACCGACCACAGTGCTGACATAAAGTATTCTCAGTGGTAGCCGGATCATGGCTTAGAATCTCCTTGGTATGGCTATCCGTGGAAGTTTATCATGGTATGTATGCTCCATGTAACGCAAATGTGTGTTAGTGCCATTAAAAACTCATCCGCGAAGTTTAAACCACCAGTTTGTCCCAATGCTTGATCCAGGAGTTCCCTTGTCTTCTGGATTAGGTTCAAAATCGGCTGTTCAACGCCGGTTATAAAATTAAATAAAATTATAGGGTCTATGTCTAGGCAAGTACAGTGGAAAATAAATATGTATAAAATTTTTATGTTATCTTAGTAATCGGGATTCGACAAAATATTCTCTCGTGGCAGCTTCAAAGATACTATTTTATTGAAAACGATGAAAATTTTATAAACTTTGAGCATTTTTTACAGTATTTTTTTCATCGACCGAATTTTTGTTTCTTATGAATATTTTCAATATATTACTTTTCACGTGTTATAATCAAACAGTTATATCGGTTCAGAAAATACGGAAGCTAAGATAATCAAAGTTCGAATTAGCGGGATTTAACTGTATTCGAAATTTTTAAGAACTAAAAACTAAACTTAAGTTTGGTTTTCTTTTAATAAAACATATACAGTGCTTAATATTATACAATTTCTCCTCGTACAATGTTTTAAAAAACTTTTTCTCATTTTATTATTTTCTGAACTTTAATTTCATGTCTTTCAGCTTGTTTATGCCGTAAAAGAATCAATAGTTCAATTTAAATTCTACTTTTAACGTAAACTATATAAACACACAATTATATAAACACGAAACATTTGCTTAATAAAATGCATTGATATTAATATAAAATAATTTTTATGATTATTTTAGTGTTTAGATAATGAAAACAATCATTTCATTTAATGTTTATATATTACATTCAATGCAGATGTAGTGTTTCGTGCTCCTGAATAAATAATAACTGAAGTGAAATAAAATGAGGAATGATTACGGCTTAAAAAGCGAGGTAAACGACACCTAAGAGATAATATTCAGACATATACTTCTGACACCTGCAGGAAAAACAACATTGAAGGAAACTATATCGTCTGGTTTTTCTTTTTTTTTTACTTTCAGAACATGAACACCTCTCTGAAAATCAAATCAAATTTATAAAATACATCTGAAATGGGAAATGTATGCGATTCAGACAATAATATATAAATATATATATATATATATCACATAAGACATTATTGTTAAAATTATGAATAGGAATCGCGACATTATCTCGCGCATATGCGGCTTTTAAAATATTTATCAGATTTGTAATAGAAAAATAGTGTAATTATTCCCCGCAATACAACACGATTGAACCATGGTGGCTCAGGGGATAGAGCGTTCGCTTTCCAATGAGGTGAACCGGGTTCGAATCCCAGCGATGGCTGGTCGATACGAATTCTACACCTGGCTTGCAACGACCACAGTGCGAACGTAAAATGTTCTCAGCGATAGACGGATCATGGGTTAGAGTTCCCTAGCCGCCAAGCTAACCGTGGCAGGTTTTCGTGGTTTTCCTCTCCGTGTAACGCTAAAGTAGTTTAGTTCCATCAAAAAATCCTCCACGAAGACAAATTTTGGCCAATTCTAGATCCAGGAGTTCCCTTTTCTTTTGGATTGAGTTCAGAATTTAAAGGCTACGGTGTTCTACGAAGTCGTAAACCAAACAATTGGGTCAGGTGTTGAACGACGGATATAAAATAAAATTTAATGTAACACGATTGAAAAACTACTCTCAAATTTATGTGAATCAATCGGAATTTCGGATCATCCTAATTTTTCTGTAATCCGAACGATCGTTTAATCATCCTAATTTGTTCGAATTTAAAAAATTTAACTATATTTGTACTCACTAATTCAGCATTTCCTTCAGAAGGTAAAAAAATGCTTTTATAAAAGCATCCGATCGTTCTTAGCTTTATCTTAAGTGACTGTTGGGCTTAAGTGTTTCTCTTTTCTATTTAAGGTTTCACAAAGAAGTCGGCACTTATACACGTTTATAGGTGGAACTGCAGATGAAAAGTATTTTTAAAATACACTGTATAATGTATAATGATAATAGAAAATGTATAAGGTTAACACTTATGCAAGAAAAGAAAAGAAGAGTTTTATTCTGTGTATTATTTTAAAGCAATTCGTGTTAAGTTTGAAAAATTATTTTTTTGGCATAATTTTCTTTTATTTTAGTGAAGAAGAAAAAACCAGCATTAAATCATACATATCTATGAATTTTTCTTTTCTTATATTAGTTTTTCCCCTAAATAAATATGAAATCCCGGGGGAAACTTCACACCAAGTACTCTTGCCTATTATAATTGTCCTTGTAACACACGTGATGGGGATTACTTCTAAGATTTTCCCTGTCAAATCTCAAGCGTAAAATGCTGGCAGAGTTTAGTGCGTTGTGGAAAATGCCCAGCAAGCATAATGAAAAAGTCATCTTTTAACTAATCATAAATTTTATTAAGCAAGTAAAATCATAACTTAACTTAAACATCATAAAGGAGAAACAATCCTCTCCATAACATGAGGTAACGAATTCAATACATACAGTCATGAAAATCAAAAGAAACAAAACTCCAAATCCAATCTTGATTTGTTATATATATATATACAAAGTAACACTTGCATAATGAGGGTACTTACACACTCAAAATTAATACTATGCAAATTCTGTCTTTGAATTATTTTTAAATGTTCGAACTCCCTCTTTCAGAGGTTTTTCGAACTCGTGATCTCTGACTCTTACTCGAACCTTGTTCATTATAATTCATAGTCTGACATATTAATTTCATAGCAATGCGCAATTTTACAAGGCGAACAATTTAAAAATAAAACACTGTAAGTTCGTCTTGTTACAAAGTCAGTTTCTATTTGTGCTGACTCTTGTG